AAAATCTGTAAAAGTTAATTAACACTTTCGCGCTATCTGGACGCGCCGGCGCGTTCGGTTTCGTCTAACGTAAACGCATAGTGGACATAAAGTTATGTCAACTTTTAAAATATTTGTATAAAATTCAATTTTAATCCGATTTCATTGGGGTTTGTTTCAAACGACGCGCCATGAAGTTCTCTTTCTCACCACTAGGCCGCCTGGCGCGTCGGCCTACCCGGTCACGTGACGGGCCCATTGTTTTCGTGTCACGTGTCGTGAGTCGATCACGCTCCCCTCACGCGCCAAACTCGAGCATTTTTACCCGTTTCCGTGTGGATTATACCCAATTACTTCATCAAAAATGGATCAAGGTCAAGGCCCAAGCACTTCTACGCCCAAGGAAGCCTCCAGGTCATCGAGAGTGGACAAAATAACCCAAATTTTTAAGAAGTGGAGCGGAGTGAAGCTCACACCAACGAAAATTCCAGGCCTTGTGGAGGATTTATCAGAAGCTGAAGGTGATGTAGAGGTATTGGAGGAAGATTTTGGAATCCACAACGATTATAGTGTACCTAGAGCTAGAGGGAATGATACGGCAACGAGTGATGAGGAGACTGAGGCCCTCACCGAGGAAGAGGAGGCACCGCGACCCCCTCCTCCTCCTCCATCTCGGCGCACACGTGGTGCATCTAGGCTACCTAGAAAAGTTGCTACCAGACATGTTACTCGTCGTAGGAACACACGACAAATTGCGCCAAGTGATTCTGAAAGTATAAGTGATGAGGAAAGTGATGAGGATTCATTCGAGCCTGCTGAAAGGCGTACACGTACAGTACGTACTCGGCAGGCTGGGGCTGGTGAGGGCTGGAGTCGTAGCAATACTTCTCCAGTTGTTGATGATTTTACTGGAGATCCTGGACTGAAAATTCCCAAGCCTACTAGTGCACTGGCTTATATTCAATTGTTCATCACGCGTGCCCTCCTTGAGTTCTTTACCGTTGAAACAAATTTGTACGCCTCGCAGTTATTCCGGATGGCCAATGAAAATGTATCAGATATTTGGACCCCAGTGAAGGTGAGTGAAATGGCGCGATTCCTAAGACTGTTCATATTGATGGGCATAATTAGGCTCCCAACTATGAGGATGTATTGGCAAACAGCAAAGCCATGGCATGCTCGTTTCTTCAGCTTGTTCATGCCGTCCAGACGATTCCAGCATATAAACCAGTTTTTCCACACATTCAATACCAATGCAGTGCCCGTGAACAATCGTGATAAGTTGATAAAAGTGAGACCAGTGATGGATTACTTGAAAGAGAGGTTTGCTCAAGTTTACATCCCCAAGAAAGAGTTGTGTTTGGATGAGGGTACAATGGCATGGCGAGGCCGACTATCCTTCAAAGTGTACAATCCAAACAAACCAGACAAGTATGGTGTGAAACTTTATATGCTTGCTGAATCTGTCTCTGGGTACATATATGACTTTGACGTATACTCAGGTATTGGTAAGACGATAGTGGATACAGTAACGGGGTTGATGCAGCCTTTAGTGAACCAGGGTTACCATTTGTACATGGATAATTACTACAACTCGGTTACCCTGACAGAAACATTGAGAGAACTTGGGGTGTACACATGTGGCACAATTAGAATGCTACGTGGCGCCCCAAAGGTATTGCAAGATCTAGCCAAGGGTAAACTTCCACTGGATACCACAGTATACCGCCGCAAAGATAATACCTTCATTCTCCTGTGGAAAGACAAGCGAGTGGTTTCAATCATTACCAACATCCACAATGCAGATACTCAGCGAGTTCAGCGAAGGAAGCGAATTCGCAACCGAGACAGAACAAGTGGAATACAACAGGTAACAGTGAACAAACCGACTGCAATTTGCGAGTACAATAAGTTCATGAAAGGTGTGGACTACTTCGATCAAATGGTTAAATATTACCATTTTACCAGGAAAACTCACAAGTGGACCAAAAAGATTACCTTTTATTTCCCGCAAATGGCATTGCATAATGCCTATGTTTTGTACAAATACAACACAACTGATCGAAAAAAGCTAACATTGCTACAGTTCCACGAAGTGGCAATCTGGGCCCTATTGCACTGGGACACAGAGGAGTGGCCTAAAACAACATCATCATCTCAACACTTGCGGCACGCTCCAGACATAAATGATGACACAGCTCCTGCGAATGCTGACGCCATGCCAACTCCCGGACCATCTGGTGTGAGGCAGCCTTTGTTCACTACACCACCTCAAGATGAAGCAGACAACGAATCTGAACCCGACATGTCTGCCACACTGCCAGTTGACGAAACTGTTTTGTCAGATGAATCTGACTCTCCTGCAACTCCTGTTACACCTCCAGCGAGAGGACCTGGCCGCCCTATTGTTGATTCAGAAAATCGCATGAACTACAAACTGAAACATGAAATTTACAGACTGCCCAAACGTCTCAAGTGTCATGCATGCGCACGATCCGGTAAAAGGAAGGACAAGAACTATGGATGCAAGACCTGTGGTGTTGCACTCTGTGTTGTTCCCTGCTACACCAATTACCACCGGAAACAGGTGTATTGGGTGGTGAAGAAGTAACCACCCGCAACAGCTTCACTCCACCTACAAACCATCTGTTGAGCAACTTCAGGAATGAAAAACCTGAAGAAGGTGGAGTGAAGAACAAATGCTCAACTTACTGTTCCACAACCAGCCTTCCCTTGGTAAGTACACCTATTTGGTCCAAGTTTGTGTAGTATAATTTAGCTCATAGAACATTCTATTGCGAAAACATTGCCACAAAAATGAATGACATACATACAATAATAATATCAGAACAGTGAAATAAGTATAAACTTTCAAAGCAACGTTTCGCGCGTGTGTCGTCCGGTCACCGTTACCAGGTAACAGTGCGCCCACTTCCCACACTCTTGCGGGTGGGCCGGGACCATTATTCTACGATTATATTCATATCACCGTGTTGGGAATTTTATTGGGAGTCCATTGATACCAAAATTAAGGCTGTAGGACAATTGTAGAGGTGATAATAATCCCAAGAGTAAAAACATTTTGTTGCTGTTGAGCGCTCACGGCGTCTCATCTTCGTAGTTATTTATTTCATGCTGGTATCTCTATAGCTTTCGTGACTTTTTTTACTGATGTTCTTCTAGAGAATTTTATTGCGAACACGTTGATACCAAAATGAAATACATAGCATGAAAACTAAGGTCAGAAAAGTAAAAAGAGTATACACATTTTTGTTTTTACGCTTAAGCGATAAAAACGCCGCGCGCACATACGGTTGGCTGAGTGACCTTCGCCGAGAGCGCGAAAGTGTTAAAGCAGTCCATCAATTCTCAATGCAAATACAGTATCAAATTTGATATGTGATGTGTCTACAGTACTGTACTCATATGAGGCCTGTAGTACGATAGTCTATATCCTCAGCTCACAAACAATCAAAGGAACATGGATTCACTCCCCACTCAAAACAGAAACAGTTGGATACATTTCCTTTCACTTCATGCCTCTGTTAACCTAGCAGTAAACAGAAAGGTACCGAAGAGTTAGGCAATTGTTGTGGTTTGCATCCTGGGGAAGATCAGTAGTTGGCCTAGGGAGACCTTGTTAAGCCTAAGTACAGGTTTAACATTCCCAACAATAAGAACTGCTATTATTTTTGTTCCCAACAATAAGAATTACATTCTATTAAAATCTACCGTTCAAACTGCAGGTGCAGTATTATAGAAACTAATTTACAGTGCTCTAACTATGCATCCTTCACTCATTAACAGTTTCAGCAATTCATGTAACATTTATTTCAGCAGATTCAAATTGTTTTTCTTTACATAATACAGTGGAACCTCGGTACTCATATGCCCCTGTGCTCGTATTTTTCGGTACTCGTACTCAATTTCTCCAAAAAATTTGATTCGGTACTCGTTGTTTGCCTCGGTTCTCGGAGTTTGTTCATACACATATGGGTCCACTGCGAGCGTGGCGCTCCAGTTTACCAGTGTCTCCCGCCTAGTGATGATCGCACTTGAATTCTTTGTGAGGCATTTCATTGTTTTTGTGCTTTTTTTCGTTTCTGAACATAAAAGTTCTTATTATATATCATGCCATGGATTCCAAGAAAGTCAGTGGTAATGTTCAACCTAAGAAAATAGTTGTGAGGATGACGAAAGAGGAAAAACAAGAGATCATTCATAGTGAGACAATGTAATGTCTGACTACAGACAAGTGTCAAAACATAGGGAAAAACAAGTGTCTATAGACAAATTCTTAGTAAGACAAGAGAGCAGTGAGCCACAACCAGGTCCTAGCAGTATGCCTGCAAAAGATAAGAGAGTATACCAGAAACCTCATCACTGCCTGATGTTATAATGGAAGGGGGACCCCCCCCCCTTCTAAACACTAACACCTCTCCTCCTCCCCTCTTCCTCGATGTCTTCCATATGCCAACAATAGTCCTCCATAAAGGTAAGGTACTATGAGTAGTTTTCTGAATAAAATATATTTTTTTTGGTAATATTTTGGGAGGGTGTGGAACATATTAATTCAATTTACATTATTTCTTATATGAAAATTCGTGTCGGTATTTGTACCGTCTCTGGGAATGGATTAACTACAAAAGCTAAGGTACCCCTGTATAGGCATGATGACATTTAGGCCCGGTGCTGATGCCAGTTTATTATTCATGTGAAGTTTGTTTCTTTACTTCTCTCAACCAGTTAGATATTTCCATATTATCAGCAATTAATTATAATTAATTCCACAAAGCAAATACTGTATTATTCTGCAGAACCAACAACAAATACTCTTAGGCTTTATAACTAATCACAATCAACCTTCATCACCTGGATGCCATTTATGTAATACAGTAATGAAACTTGTATTTACTAAAGATTGTAATTACTTTTACATGTTATTTATTGTTAAATATTCTACTGTTTTGAGCTACATGTTATCAGTTGCATCATAAAAGGAAACCATAGTCCACACTCACCGGAAGTTCAATGAGTCCCTTAACTTTGAGCATCTTGGCTAAGTCAATAACATGTGGCAGAATTTCAGCTGGGACATTCACCTATAAAGACCAGGGATCACTATTAGCCAACTTTTATATTTACACCAGGGGTTAAAGTTTGCATGCTCTACACCATGGGCTAAAGTACAGTGGTCTACATCCTTGGATCACAACCGAGGGACCTGGGTTCAAACCCTGGGCAGGACAGAAATGGGTATTTTTTTTCAACAAGGATGCCTCTGTTTATCTAGCCACAAAATAGGTGCCCCGGGAGTTATTCAACTGTTGTGGGTTGTATCCTGGGAAGGGTCAGTAGCTGACATAAGGCAGACCTCAATAAACCTGAGTACAGATTTCCTGTCCCCCAACAATGGAAATTATAATAATTTGTTTAGTTGGGGACAAGAAGACTGTATATACTCTTTAGACTTATAATGAGATCCCCCAAATTCAAGCTATTGATCATCCCCAGGATACAACCCACAACAGTTGCCTAATTCCAAGTACAGTACTATTTACTGCTATGTGAACAGATGTATTAGCTGAAAGGAAACATACCCAATCCTTTCTGTCCCCCATCGAGATTCAACCTTGGGATTCCCAACTGTGAATCGAGAACAAACCCAACTGAACTCTTGAGACCCTGTGTGATAAATGTGGAAATTCTCTCATTTTAAGGCATGGAATGCGGAAGATGCTAATTAAAAGCATGAATATCGAAACAGGAAAGCACATTTATATATTTTACAAAAATAAGAGTAATCAAGGCACAAATAATTTGACTCTTGGAACACACCTGTCCACGATACATGTAGGCGATGATAATTTGTAATGCATCAAAGTTGATGCCTGGAAACACGACCACCATTGGACGCTCTTCACTGATTTCCTCTAACATTTTCTGATAAAATGTCAGGTAAAAAAAACAGTTATAACATTTTACATGTACCAATAAATAATGTACATCAGCATGTACAACATGCAAATAGTAAACATATAGCAGTCAGTAATATGTTCGATTATGTTGCCTTGTGAATACATATTAGGGTTCAATTCCATAATATGGCTTAAATATTTACTCATAGATTCATAACAATACAGTACTGTGATTTTATTGAGCATGTTGACTTACTTTAAAAAATGGGCTGAAGAATGCTAAAATAATGCGATGAGCCTTGATACTTCTTGGCCCCACAGAAATGGTGACATCAGTGAGCGTTGCACCCGCCAAGAAATGTGGTAACTGGCGGCCCACATGTTCTCCCCAGTTCTGCCACAACACCACCACCATCTCTCTGAAAGCTGTCTTCCTATTAATATGTTATTGATCCCATATAGTATTTATTTTTATATCTACTCAAGTTGTGTTATAAAAATATTTATGTTTTATCTCCAGTCCTGAAAATGTCATGAATTTTAAGATCTATATTTCATAGATCCCGGTAGTACTGTTGAGTTCGTTCTTGACGCACAATCGAGAATTCAGGGTTTGAATCCCGGTGGGACAGAAATAGTTGAGCACATTTCCTTTCACCTAATAGCACTGTTCACCTAGCAGTGATCAGGTATTCGGGAGTTAGTCAGTTTGTTGTGGGGGATGCATCCTAGGCGGGGCCAGTAATTCGGCCTGGGGGGGGAGGGCCTCGATAAAAGCCAAAAGTGTATGAATACACTCTGGCTTCCTGTTCCCTGACACAATGAATTATTATGAAGAATTATATATTTATGAAGAATTATAAATTCGGCCTGGGGGGGGCCTCGATAAAAGCCAAAAGTGTATGAATACACTCTGGCTTCCTGTTCCCTGACACAATGAATTATTATGAAGAATTATATAATATACAGTACAGTGGAACCTTGATTAACAAATTTAATCCGTTCCAGCACCGAGCTCGTCGTGTGAAATGCTCGTCTTTCAAAACGAATTTCCCCATTTAAAATACTGTACGTACTGTATTGGGAATAAAAATAATCCGTTCCACCACTGAAAAACATCAATATGATATTCGAGTTTTTAAATAATGGAACAGCCTACCTGACATACACTGAACGAACCTTTATAACATTTTTCCTTTTTTCAAATTTGTTCAATTCTTTTTTTTTTAAGAAACATGGAGCATCCTACCTGACATACAATGAACAAACCTTTATGATATTTGCTCTTTTTTCACCTTTGTTCACTTTTTTTATTTTTTCCTTTTTTTAGAGCAAAAGGTTCATTCAGTGTTTGCCAGGTAGGCTGCTCCATGTTTCTTAACCATTAAACTGCGCAACACGTCATATGACATGTTGACGTGATGAGTAACTTGCGCAAAATTGCACATCACATCATATGACGTGATGGAGTACCGCGCAAGATTTGAATGGCCAGCGGGGTAGGGAGGGCCCCCATATGCTGCCCAGGGGCTATAGTAAACAGCTGCCATTTTGTAAAAAAAATCCTGCTCTTGCCACCAATGCGTGGAAGGCCTCAGTTACCCAGCAGTCACCATGGCGAGTGCACGGCCAAACGCTTCCCAGGCACGCAGCATGCAGTCACTTACTCAAGAGCAAATAACCAGTGAATTATTTCCTGATGGTGAGGAAAGTGATTTTGATGACTCTGACATTGATAAGGACTACACACAATTGACCGATGATAGTAGCACAAACAGTGAATATGAGATACAGCCTGCTCCCATGGCGAGACCTACACGCTCACCAGTCCCGCCTCGCCCAGTGTCTACTCCAATTCACCCCAACCACATAGTTCTTGTACTTATTTAGAGTATGAAAATATTTTGGGCGATGAGTCACCGAGGAAGGTGACTTTTTCTGGTTTTAGTGAAGTGGATTCAGAACATAGTATTACCATGCCTGTTGCTAGTGCCAGTGGTGTTACCAAGCGAGATTTTGTTGCGTCAGCAGCGTCTCGCCCAGTCAAGCGCCGCCGCATGGCACCACATGATGAACCAAGACCCTCATGTTCCCGTGATTTTACCTTACGTTCACGTAACACCTGTACTTTGCGTAGACGGGCTTCAACTCCTGGTCCATGGTGTACAACGATTCCTCGCCGTCATGCCGCTGTTTCGTCTTGCAGGACACCACGTGTACTTGTGTGGAGTGATGGCGATGATTTTGTTCCTCTAATTCCTGCCTTTGACAATAAAGATGTTGGGATTACAGACCTTTTCCCTGATACTGGTGAGGACATGTGTGAAATAGACTATTTTACAGCATTTTATGATGAGGCGCTCATGGAATATATTGTACACCAAACGAACCTTCATGCGGCTCATCTCATTGGAAAAAATATAACAGATTTTTCACGATTACAGCATTGGAAAAACACTACCGTAGGTGAAATGTATGTATTTTTGGCACTATGTATGATGATGAAACATTGTGTCAATCACGCTGTCACAGATTATTGGAACAAAGACCAGACTGTTCCAACACCTTTGTTCAGAAAATATATGTCCCGAGACAGGTTACAGATACTCCTCAGGTGTTTTCATTTTGCAAGTAATGAAGACCGGACAGAGGATGATAGACTTTGGAGAGTCGGGCACATTATGAATGAAGTGATTAGAGAGTACAGAGATTTCTACATACCAGCACATAAGCTGGTGATTGACGAATCCCCTGTGCTTTCCAAAGGACGTGCTGCCTTCAAGCAGTATATTCCCTCCAAACGCAACAGATTTGGATTGAAATTCTTTATTCTTTGTGATTGTGAAACAGGATACGTGTTACACATGATTCTGTATTCTACTAGCGATGTAGACATTCCCAGTAATGACCAACATGGTTTCTCAGGTAGTGTGGTGGCACCATATCTTGAGGTTATCTTGAGATGATTTCGGGGCTTTAGTGTCCCCACGGCCCGGTCCTCGACCAGGCCTCCACCCCCAGGAAGCTGCCTGTGACAGCTGACTAACACCCAGGTACCTATTTTACTGCTAGTTAACAGGGGCATAGGGTGAAAGAAACTCTGCCCATTGTTTCTCGCCGGCGCCCGGGATCAAACCCGTGACCACAGGATCACAAGTCCAGTGTGCTGTCCACTCGGCCGACCGGCTCCCTCCCGACCATGGATGAACAAGGGCCACATTTTATACACGGATAACTACTATACAAGTCCCTTGCTTGATTGAAAATAGAACTGGATTGGTTGGCACAGTAAAGCCAAGAAGAAGGGGAAATGCCAGTGTTTGACAATAATCTTGAAGTTGGTGACTGCCAGCTAAGAAAAAGTGATAAAATACTCTTAGTTAGGTGGAAAGATGAGAGAAGTGAACTTGCTGACATCTGTTCATGATGGTACAATGGTGAACAGTGGCAAGGTGAACCGAGTAATGCAAGAACCAGTATATAAGCCAGATTGTTGTCTTGACTATAATATCAACATGCATTTGGTTAATAAATCTGACATGATGGTGGGCACTGTCGAGTGTGTTAGGAAAACATTGAAGTGGACAAAAAAAGTGTTTTTCCATCTTGTTGACATAAGCATGCTGAACAGCTACAATATGTATCTGGTGAAAACTGGATGTAAACCAAATTTCCATTCGTTTGGTTTTACACTTGCGACACAGTTACTAACAAAGTTTGGCAAAGATGTTCCTGGCATACAAAGACCCATCATGAACCCAGTGTTGCAGCATGCTGCTTCACCCAGGCTCACTCACATGGAGGGCTTTCAAGCACACAAACTAAAACATTTGCCACCAGCTAGAAAGAGTGTAATAGGCCAACGTGATTGCTTAGTTTGTAGAACAACAAAAAAGAAAGAACAGAAATGTAAACTGGTGCAAACATGGTGTGAAGTGTGTGCAGTCCCATTGTGTGCTGTCAACTGCTACAACGACAACCACTATCACAAGATTTCTAAATGTGCAATAATAGTGCAAAATCCTGTAAACAGCGCGTGGATGTGTGTAAATAATAATAATGATAAATGTGAATACATATTATATTTGCATAATTGAAAACATTTCTGTGAGCATGTGTATACTCAATGTATGCAAGTTGTATTATCATTGAACATAAAGTAACATTATATGCAACACAATTAGTGAAAAAAAAATTTGATAAAATACGCCTAGACACTGTAAACAATGCCGCGAAAATAAATTCGTGGCAACTCTGGGTGCTTGAAGACCATGCGCGACGGCTCCGGGACGCACCATGCACGAGTGATCATGCAGGGTGTGACGTCATCGCTCATATTGTCGGTTCATTTACGTCATTGGTAAGTATAATTAATTTTTTTTTTCTTGTGGTCATGGAACACAAATTTACACGTTAGGAAGATTTTTTTTTTATGCACCTGTGGGTGACAATTATAGCTCTTAGCAACACAAGGGTTAAAAAAAAAAATTGAACAAATCTGAAAAAAGGAAAATGCCATAGAGGTTCGTTCAGTGTTTGTCAGGTATGCTGCTCCATGTTTCTTAAAAAAAAAAAATTGAACAAATTTGAAAAAAGAAGAAATGTCATAAAGATTTGTTCAGTGTTTGTCAGGTAGGATGCTCCATTATGATAATCTTTCTTTGTTTCAAATGTGTTCAATTTGTTTTATATTCTTCATTTATTTATTAATTATGAAACAGCCTACCTGGCATACACTGAACGAACCTTTATGACATTTTTCCTTTCTTCAAATTTGTTCATTTTTTTATTTTTAAAGAAACATGAAGCAGCGTACCTGACAAACACTGAATGAACCTTTTTGACATGTGTTTTTTTTTTTAAATTTCATTTTTTTATTATTCTACAAAAAAAATTCAATGCTTTGCATCATCACAGCAGTCACCCACTTCACATTCCAGCATCATTAGCATCTTTAACCCTTGTGTTGCTTAGGACAATTTGGTGTTTGTCACCCACAAGCACATAACAAAAAAAAAAAATATTCTTGACCTGTTAATTTGTTTCCTGATCATGGGAAAAATAATAAAAAAATCGTAAGTGGCATATTTTGGCTGCAATAGGTCGGGGAAGTCTGGCAAAAAAAGAGGCGCTGACTCAGCAAGCGTCAGGGGAATTCTGCTTCGCCACGCTATCAGGCGGGGGTTGCCACAAAGATATAATTACCTAATTATTTCAATGTCTCTGATTGATTTTTTCTTCTTTTTTTGCTCTAATATTATTCAGCAGTGTGTAGTGTGATATATTTATATAATACAATAAGTGAATGATCACTGTACTCAAAATTATGGTGTGCCTGTTATTGAATCAATTATTATGTTCATAAAACAATCAACAAATACTTTGTCGGTTATTACACTATATACACAGGTTATATATAAGTATCT